GGTCACAGAAGGAGTACCTCAGAAAACTCAGTCGAAAAACTGCTTACTGAACCGCACTGTTTTGCTACAATGCACACTTTGTGCAGAGAAAATCGAGAGTGAACATAAGGCAAGATGGCGCTGACCTTTTGACCTTGGTCACATGTAAAAAATATATGAAGTCATGGGCCTGACCTAGATTTCTCTTTCTATCACTGGCCGAATCGCAGATTAATGTCTACAGTTCAAAATAGTCATTTTTACTGACCAGAGTCTATGATGGGTATGAACTAGGTGAATAGGCGGGTTAAAAACCCTCTGCCTAATACATGTACATATATATATATACATTGTATATATATACTTGTAAATGTAGTGGTATGTTCTAAACTGTCATCTTTTCTCAAGTAGTGTATGGTTTTGCATAAATGGCATAGAGTCTATTGTCAAAATAAGTTGTAATTGAATGATCCTTTTATTACAGGTTACATCACTTCAATGTGAGGGAAAATACTGTACTAGTACATGAATTGACTGTTAACTAGACTACTAACTAGGCATCCAGTTTTAAAATGCAAAAAGCTTAGCAAGTATAACTAGTTTAACCTTTATCTATTCAAGTCAATGTAGAAGTACATGACGCTGGCAGGTATGGATTGAATGTACATACATTGTAACAGGTATTGATTGTTTTTCACCAGATCTCAGTCAGATACCGCCTTATCAACAAGATCGGATAACAGTGGGAGTAGCAGTAGTACCTCGAATAATACCAAGAAGAAAATAAAATCTGAAACCAACTTTGTCAAAAGTGAGTACAGTCCAACATGTGGTGCTTATCACATATTTTCAAATTTGTATCATTTAGTCTTTGCCTACGTAGAGTTGGAACTGAATGATAATATTATTAGAAATCCTAATATTGTTATAAAATTTCGAAAAATAAACATATTTCATCAGTTGCTACTGTAAAAATAGTTTTCCTTTATATATACTGGTAGTGGGAAGTTCCCATACTTTATATATGTACAGTGACATGCATGGTCAGTTATGCAAAATTTTGCTCAAACTGTGTTAATGTCATGCATTTATCATATTCATGTTGCACATATCTCTTATGAAAGGTATTGCCTTTCTATTACACTTGTATCACATATCTTTTCTGCTTATAATGTTTTTATGGTTTTGCTTGCGCTGTTCGAAGATGTGTGTTGACTGACAAGATTCTATTTTTGTCACTTACTATATAGCACTTCTGTGTCTGATGTAAAAAAATGAAAATGATTGAATGAGTTGTAAATGTTATGCACATTTTCCAAATAATTAAGACATTGAAACATGTTTATAACACTTTCAGAGTACATACAGTGATATACTGTAAAAGGATTAATTATTCACTGGGTTTAAATTTTGCTTATTTCAAAGGAAATAACTGGAAAATGCACTAAATAAAACCCAGGGAATAATCACATTTTACAGTATAATAGTATGGTTTCTTTGGTCTATCACTCACTATCCTGCACTTGGTGCACATAGTACAGTGTATAAAGTTCAATGTCCATGTTTTAGGTATGGAAGAAAGAGCTGCACGAATAGCACAGAGGAAAACTGAAGCTGAGAGAAGAAAAAGGCAGAGAGAGGATGAAAAACTGGTATGTACATTTGATGTATTTATGTAATATATACATGTTCTCATATAATGGTGTTTGATGCAAACTGCTTGTTTCCCAATTTTGAATTTGAATTGAAGATATTTATAAACACGTACATTAATTTACTGCATTCTTACTTGTTTCATCATCATACATACAGCAAGATGTGATGACTTGTGCTCCTGTTTAGTTATTTTGCATCCTTTTTTGGTGGATGGCCAGTGTGCGAGTGGAGAACGAGCACAGTCATGTAGCTAGGTGATTTTGTGTTGTTTGTATGTATCTGTGAGTCACACATGCAATACATGTATACATGGTTACTGTTAGTCTTTACCCTGTATTCAGTATTATTTGTGGGTTGAGCAGATGTTGATCATCAAATTTTATTTACAGGCTAGAATAAGAGAGGAAGAGGCAAAGAGACTTGCTGAAGAGGAAGAAGAAAGGAAAACTAAATTAGAAAGAATTAGAGAAGAAAGACGCTTAGCAAAACAGGTATTTGGTACAAAATTTACTAGAAATGATGGCTTTGTGATGCGGAAGTGAGGTCTGTTTATGTACATGTTTAACTGTTGGATCTTTAAGTATTGAAACTAAAATTCAATCGTTCATATTTTACACGTTTTATTCTTTAATTACAGAGAGAACTTGAAAAACAACAGCGACTTGAATACATCAATAGACAAAATAACAAAGCAGATGAACACTATAGACAAACACTATTACGCAACAAAGGAATAAAACCCTGGATAAAATTAATAAATATTTCAAAACAAAACATGCAAGTTGCTGTTGATCATTGTAATACACAGTTACTATGTCGATGTTTTATGCCATGGAAGGACATTGCACAGGAGATAGTAAGAGAGAAAGAAATGATGGCTGATGAATTATATAAATATATACTCGCTAGAAGGGCGTTTTCTTCCTGGAGAAAAGTAAGTTAATCTTTATTGTCATACATGTAATTATATCAAATATGTGAAGAGTGTCTGTACAATACTTATACCGGTATAGGTAATCACTTGATTATCTGTTGTGATTCACTTAATAAACACACACACAGCCGATTAATGACTTTAACAGTAATTGCTAACCAATGAAAATGTAATTGCAGAAACTACCCTAATGGCATATCAAGTGACAGTGAATTTTTGCTTGAAATGTCTTCATTTGTTTACAGTATACTCAAAATATAGTTTTCATTTCTTTTTTACAGTACGGTCATCTACAGTCCATTCAACTGCAGAAAGCAAGAAGACATTTTGCATACACAGCTACAGTCAAATACTTTAAATTATGGCAGGATTTTGTAACTGAGGAGAGAGTAGAATTCATGAGAAAAGACGAGATGGCCATGGACCACAGTGAATAGTATGTATACTGTTTTATATTGTCACATACATGTATTTAGAAATGTGCTCAAGGATTATTTTTTTTAAGAATCTTATAAGGTTTGTAGAAGAATCTTATCAGATTCTGAGAAGAAACAGTGCAAGTAGACCTTGGAAGATGAACTATATAATGACTTGATTTTACCTTTGACTTCCATTCCAGCTAAGACCTGGCCATTTCCTTTGCTATTGCCACACTGGATATGGAAGCTAAAACTACATAGTCATAAAAGAATGTGGCAGATTCATTTTTCATCAAGCAACTTTTTGTTACTCTGTACGTTTTCAGTATCATTGTTATGTACAGCAAATTCTACGAGTGGTCATCAGTCTACAGCAGTCCTGTATTTCCATGAGTGCCTAATTTACACGACGATAAAAACAAATAAAATTGAAAGATTCAGCAAGCAGTTACTTTGCTCTGTGCACTGTGTCTAATGTCTAATGGTGTTTATTATACATACATTGTAAATACAAAAAGTATGATGCTTGTCCCCTGATATAATGATTAGAATCTTTAAGACAATAGTTATGTGTATAATTAGTTTGTTCAGAACATGAAACTGCATACAAAATGTGACCATCAAATTGCTATGATAGTTATTTAACAAAATTCAGGATACTTATTTGAAGCTATCCAAAATATTGGTTTACAGATTTTACTATTATTAATGGAAAAGATGTTCACGATGCAAGTCTATGCAGTAGCTGTCACACACTTAGAGATTACTGATCACAAAATCAAATAATTCACCCCTCAAACAGTTGCAGGACCACAAAGGATTGTTTGTTATACATGTTTGTATTCTGTACCCTGCTGATTTTGTCAATGGTGATATCACTTCTAAATCATTTGTTTGTGTTTGTTTGTTTGTTTGTTTTTTCAGTCGAATAATGAAGACTGCATTCATAACATGGAGAGAATATCCCAAAACCATCAAATTGCTGAGAGAGAAGGAAAAACGGAGATCAGAAATGAGGAAGAAAGTCCAATCCCTGTTACCAGACTTTGGTTCATGAATACGTTAATTAGTCCTCGTCATTTTAAAATTGGGGACTTAGGGATTGACCTGTTTATCAAAACTTTTATTGCTAAAAATGTATTTTAGATCAGATTTAAAATGCCTGAATGCAAATACTGTAAATATGCATAAATACATGTACATGTTATCATACATAAAGTTATAGTACCAAATGTATATTGACAACAGTGATGATGGGTTCCTAGCAACCAAGTTAAAAACATAATTTTTTCTCATATTTTTACCTCTGCTATCATCAAAAATTGATTATTGTGCACAATTGTGCTTTGGGGGAGCCTCATTATTATGCAAAATCGTAATTCACAGCAAACTCGTATATACAGTGGTTCTGAGAAAACACACATCAGCACATAACTTCTAATTTCTCTAGTCTCAACCGATTACCGCTCTTGATGGCAAAATCAGTCTTTGACATTGGTCAAATTTTACACCTCATCCTGAGGGATCATGCAATTTTGTTTTCAAAAATGCTGTATTATTTTATTGTTTAATATTTCATTTATTTATATATTTTATATAAAAATATGATATGAAATAAAAATTCAGTCTGATTCGGCACATTCAGTTGATGCTTAGAGTATTCTTACTTGTATGATAACCCATATCTGCGAGATCAATTTTTTAACGATATAATCTCATGGTAAATGGATAGCCATTTTAAGCCAGTCTTTGACCCATGGTGTTGTCTCTGGTAAAAAGCTCACAATATGCTATGAGATCACAATAAATATGAAGTCACACTGTATTTGTATGCATTGACATTGACGATTCTGGGACTGGGAAGATTGGTCAGAAGAGTTTTGCTATAAGGATGGTCTGTTACTTGAGTTCTTAATACTTATCTCCGGAGGATTGTGGCAAGGCCAAACATCCCTGCATCTCTTCCCTCAAAGATTAATGTGGATTACCCAACCCAGACTAAATAATTCAAATAACTCTGCTCATACCAATGTGTCTTGACATTAAAATACGTTTGACTTGTAAAGACAATACTTTAGAGCTGGTGGTTTGATGCAAAATGCACCAATCATCTATGGATATGCAGTGAAAGCAATAGTCAATCACACAATTGGCGAGGAAAGCTGGTTGAAGTGATTTTCACATCCTAACCATAATCATATAAGTAGCAAACCGCTCAAAAGTTCTAACGAATTATCCCCTCACTCTTAGATGGCCAGGGTAACTCTGCATGGTATTGTTAGTCTAATATTTGCAATGCATACATGTTTTGCAATTCCTCTATTATCACATAAGTCATAAATCGTCAAACACCCAGTCTTTTTACCACGAGAACTGAAAATTTACATTCACTATCTTGCCAATGATTTGGAATGGTGAGAGCGCACTGCCCAA